TCAGATCCACAACTCCTCCTCCCCCTTGTCCAGAATGCAGAGTCCGCGTGGTGGCCGGCATTTGCTGCAACTGGACTGTCCTTATGTCATATAACTGCCCCCTCCAATTCCAGCATGCCGAGAATGACTTTCTCAAACCAGTCAGATGATACTAAAGCTTTCATCTATATTCCATTCTACACACTACTGCATGCTGGGGTCAAAGTGGTAGAGTAATATATTCCAGTGATGGTAACAAAATGTGGTCCCTATGCAAGAGCTGAGAGCATCCGATGGGTGCTTTTAGGATAAGTGTGCTGTCCTGCATGTTCCTGCTTTGCTGTACAGAGCAGCCCACTTCTCCTACTAGAGAAGACCATATGTGGATAGGGCAACGTGGATGCTAAAATAGAGAATGCAACATACTCTGGGATGGTGCCAGGGTGCTCTTGGCACCACAGACGCTATAAAGTGATGCAGTAGTAATTGTCCGTATCAATGAATTTGGGTTATTATTCCTTATCAATAATCCCGATAGCAGACTTCAGTCAGTATGTGCCACGTTTCAGTATGCAATGTCTATCCAGTTAATTATAAAATCAGCGAGGATCAATCTTGGTTTTTATCAGTTACCATATCATAAATCTTATCACTAGACTAGATGTCTGTGTAAACCCATGTACTAATAAAACACCTACAGATGATGGAACTGGATTTCTCAAGTTGTGTCTTGAAATAGTTTAGAGTTCTAGTTCCCATGGTTCCCTAGTCTCAAGCTAGGGGATTCTGAACCGTAAAATGTAACGAGTCGGACAACATCAAGTGTGTGCATATTCTATCAAGTCTTTTTTTCTTTTACATTTTAAATACTGGAGTCTGGATATTGGGTTCTTCAGCCAATTATGTTTACAGTTAGTGGAGGGTGCAAGAGAATATTAATGTTTATTTTTTTTTAATTTTTCTTTTTCTTTCCAGAAGCAGCTGCCTATTTTAAAAATAAAGATCATGAAATAGAGTGCTCCACCAACCTACTTAGTGGGAATGTTGGTGCTACCCCAAGTGGCGTTCAAGAGGGGAGCTAAATAACTGAACTTTACTGCACATCATTCCATAAATTAGGTAGTGGGGCTGAATTGCATTGAATGCCTGTCTGTGGCTTGATTCTGGCTATGCTTTCATTGAGATCAGAGCAGATCAGCAGCAAGTTGTTTATTGGCAGAGAGGAGGGGACGTAACATTTCCCCATCTCCATATTAGTGTAGGGAGTGTCAGGTTTCCCCTTGGATTCAATTGGAGCAATGCCCCGTTTGACTGCATATACTTAAGTTTAGTTAGTTTAAGTACTAA